TAGAATGTCATTGGTATTTTGATAGGGATTGTGTGGAACCTATGGATTGCTTTGAGTAGTATGACATTTAAAAAATATTAATTCTTCCAATTCATGAACATGGGATATTTTTCAATTGATGAGCAGTCAAAATCCAGCGTTTCTATGTTGATTTTCTGTGTGGATGATCTGTCCATTGTTTAAAGTGGGGTGTTGACATCCCCTCTTTTTTCCCACTTTCCCACTTGCAAACACATATTGAAAGTACCATGAAAAATTATAACAACACATGTGACACAGGCTGGTTTTCAACATACATAGAGCCTAAGCAAGAAGCATGAGTACTGAAGCTCTACAGAGGTCATTCTGGGAGCCCTGCTACAGGAAATTTTAATCTATCAAATCAGCTTTTTTCTCCCACACTCCAGGCTCGTCACTTCTTCCTAATCCAAGCTGGCTTGTCCACACATGGAAATCAAGGTTGCTCCATATATGTTAATACTTGTTCAGCTGTGTTTCACGAGGCATCTCCACAAGTCATGTCCTGGCTCAAATTCTGTACAGGAAGTTCCTGTTGCTGTCAAAGCACTCTTGCACCCTCTGCACTACTTTGCTGCTGAAGTAACCTGGCTCCCCTACCCTCAACTCTTCCAGCTTCTGATCATTTGGAAATCTACCATTGTCAGTTCTTCTGGTGCTCTCAGAATCACTGGAGTACTTCCGCAGCTCTCTCTGATGACCTAGGGCTGCAGCAAGAGGCACAGAACTCTCCTTCTCCGGTTTCTGGTTTCCTTTATTCTTTCCCTTCCATCTCCTTGGTACATTTGTCCTGTGAGTGTTTGACTCTATCACTTTCAAAGCTGTGGTGTGATTTGGGTCTTTGGATGAGGCATCATGCCCCGACATAAGCAAAGAGCCTGATACAGAGTGGCCTGCAGGAAATGGCTTTTAGGTATTTCCAGAGCCTGGGAGCTGCTGGAATAAGTAGGCAAGCCCAGTTTTCTTAAGGACTTTTTGATCCTGCTTCAGTTTCACCTCAAATGTGGGTACAAACTTGCTTTTTAAAACTCTTTGCATCACATCAGTGCTGACATCAAAGCCTTCAGTCAACCTGGGAACTGACCGGGACTCTGACAGAAAAATGTGGGAATGTTTGGAACTTCCCAGACACTTGGAGGGCTCAGAAGAGAGAAAGATGTGGGAAAGTTTGGAACTTCCTAGGGACTTGTTAATTGGCTTTGACCAAAATGATAATAGTGATGTGGGCAATCAAGTCCAGGCTGAGATAGTCTCAGATAGAGAAGAGAAACTTTTTGGGAACTGGAATAATGGTTCTTGCTATTCTTTAGTAAAGAGACTAATAGCATTTTGCCCCTTCCCTAAAGTTCTAGGGAACTTTGACCTTAAAAGAGATGATTTAAAGTATCTGGCAGAAGAAATTTCTAAGCAGCAAAGCATTGAAGAAGAAGCAGAGCATAAAGGTTTGGAAAATTTGCAGCTTAATGATGCAGTAAAAGAGAAAACCTCTAAGGAGAAATTCAAGTCTGCTGCAGAAATTTGTATACATAATAAGGAGCCAGATGTTAATCACCAAGACAATGGGGAAAATGTCTTCAGGGCATATCAGAGACCCTCACAGCAGCCCCTCCCCTCATAAGCAAGGAGGGATAGGAGGTAAAAATGGTCCCAGGGTCCTCCTGCCGTGTGCAGCCTAGGCACTTGGTACGCTGTGTCCTAGGTGCTCCACCCATGGCTAATAGGGGCCAAGATACAGCTCTGGTTGTGGCCTCAGAGGATGCAAGCCCCAAACCTTGACAGGTTCCATGTGATGTTGAGCCTGTAGGTGCACAGAAGTCAAGAATTCAGGTTTGGGAACCTCCACCTAGATTTCAGAGGATGTGTAGAAATGCTTGGATGACCAGGCAGAAGTTTGCTGCAGGGGCAAAGTGCTCATGGAAAACCTCTGCTAGGGCAGTGCAGAGTAAATGTGGGGTTGAAGCCCTCACAATGAGGCACTTCCTAGTAGAGATGTGAGAAGAGGGCCACCATCCTCCAGACTCCAGAATGATAAATCCACTGACAGCTTGCACTGTGAACTGGAAAAACCACAGACACTCAATGCCAGTCCAGGAAAGCAGCTGGGAGAAGGGCTGTCCCCTGTAAAGCCACAGGGGAGGAGCTGCCCAAGGCCATGGTAGCCCACTTATTGCATCAGCATTACCTGGATTCAAGACATGGAGTCAAAGGATATCATTTTGGAACTTCAAGGTTTAATGACTACCCTATTGGATTTCAAACCTGTATGAACCTGTAGTCCCTTCATTTTGGCCAACTTCTCTCTTTTAGAATGGGTATATTCACCCAGTCCCTCATCCCCACCGTATCTAAGAAGTAACTAACTTGCTTTTGATTTACAGGTGAATAGGCAAAAGGGACTTGCCTTGTCTCAGATGAGACTTTGGACTGTGGACTTTTGAGTTAAATCTGGAATCAGTTAAGACTTTGGGAGGATTTGTGGAAAGCATGATTAGTTTTTTTGTTTGTTTGTTTGAGTCTGTTGCCCAGGCTGGAGTGCAGTGATGCAATTTCAGCTCTCTGTGACCTCCATCTCCTGGGTTCAAGCAATTCTCAGGAGGCCTCAGCCTCCTGAGTAGCTGGGACGACAGGTGTGTGCCATCACATCCAGCTAATTTTTGTATTTTTAGTAGAGATGGGGTTTTATCATATTAGCCAGGCTGGTCTCAAGCTTCTAACCTTAGGTGATCTGCCCACCTCAGTCTCCTAAAGTGCTGGGATTATAGGCATGAGCCACCATGCCTACTGTCAACATGATTAGTTTTGAAAGCTTTTCTCATCTCAGATGAGACTTTGGATTGTGGACTTTTGAATTAATGAGTTAAGACTTTGGGGCATGATTGGAAGGGCATGATTGTGTTTTGAAATATAAGGACATGTATTGAGAAATGCTAAGTGTATGACTGCTGAGAAATGATGATTGTATGATAGAATATACTGTTTGCTAGGAAGAACGATGGCAAGGAAAACCTAGCCGACCCTCCCCATTACTTGGGGCATTTCAAAGTGGCAGGAAAATATATAAATATCATATACTGATTAAAACAATTCTTTAAGATACTGACTCTGCCCCCTTGGCTCCCTCATGGAGAATACCTTTTTTTTTTTTTTTTTTTGAGATGGAGTTTCGCTCTTTTCACCCAGGCTGGAGTGCAATGGCGTGATCTCGGCTCACCGCAACCTCCACCTCTTGGGTTCAGGCAATTCTCCTGCCTCAGCCTCCTGAGTAGCTGGGATTACAGGCAGGTGCCACCATGCCCAGCTAATTTTTTGTATTTTTAGTAGAGACGGGGTTTCACCATGTTGACCAGGATGGTCTCGATCTCTTGACCTCGTGATCCACCCGCCTCGGCCTCCCAAAGTGCTGGGATTACAGGCTTGAGCCACCGGAGAATACCTTTTAGTTTGTCTGCGATCAGTGATAAGCAGGCACCAGCTACCTACAGAGCATAATTTGTGTTATGAGAAAATACCGAACATCTGTTTGCTAATAATAATCACCTGTTCAGAGAGAATAATGGCATGGGTCAGAGTCTACTTGGGGCCCTTCAGCCTGGAATGCTACTAGCCCCTGAGGTTCTCAGCTCAGAAGGCTGCTGGTCCCCTGGAAACACCCACTTTGCTGTTCTTTCTGGGTGTCTGCCTCTCAGTTTTCTTCAGCGCCACCTGGGTGGGGGTCTCTCTGGCAAAGTTGGTACTTATTAGACATAAGATTTGGGAGGAGCCTGGGGTGGAATAATATGATTTGGCTCTGTATCCTCACCCAAATTTCACCTTGAATTGTAATAATCCCCATGTATCAAGAGTGGGACCAGGTGGAGATAATTGAATCATGGACACAGTTCTCTCCATGCTGCTGTTGTGATAGTGAGTGAGTTCTCATGAGATCTGATGGTTTTAAGGGGATTCTCCCTTCTCTCGACGCTCATTCTTCTGCTGTCCTGTGAAGAGATGCCTTCCATCATGATTTCCTGAGGTCTCCCCAGCCAGGTGGAACTGTGAGTCAATTAAATCTGTTTTCTTTATAAATTACCCAGTCTTGGGTATTTCTTCAGAGCACTATGAGAACAGACTAATACATGAGGTTCTATTTTTATGTATTTCAAAGTTTTGTTCCAAGACTTACAACTTTTTTTTTTTTTTTTTTTTAGCATTTCTTGTAGTACTGGGTTAGTAGTGGTGAATTCTCTAAGCCTTTGTCTGAAAAGATTTTATATCTCCTTTATGAAGCATTGTTTATTTAAAAAAATTTTTTTTTCTTTGTCCTTGATTAGATTAATTCTAAAGCCTGTCTTCAAGCTCTGAAGTTTGTTCTTCTACTTGTTCTATTTTGGTGTTGAAACTTTCCAGTGCAGTTTGTACTTCTCTAAATTTGTCTTTCATTTCCAGAAGTTGTGATTGCTTTTTCTTATAAGACTTACTTCTCTGGAGAATTTTTTACTCATATCCTTATTGTTTTTAAATTTTATTTAAATTATTTTTCATCTTTCTCTGGTGTCTCCTTGAGTAGATTAATAAGCAACCTTCTGAATTATTTATCTGGCAATTCAGAGATTTCTTCTTGGTTTGGATCCATTGCTGGGGAGCTGGTATGATTTTTTTGTAGGTGTTACACAGCCCTGTTTTGTCATCTTAACAGAATTACATTTCTGGTTCCTTCTCATTTGGGTGAACTATTTTATTGCCAAGTCTGGAACTCAAGGCCACCTGTTCAGATTCTCTTGTCCCACAGGTAATTTCTGGATGTGGTACTCTCCTTCTCCTCCTGGAGATGGTGCTTCCTAAGAGCCAGACCGCAGTGACTGTTATTGCTCTTCTGGGTCTAGCCACCCAGCAGGGCTACCAGGCTCTGGGCTGATGCTGGGTGATGTCTACAAAGAGTACTGTGATGTGATCTGTCTTCAGGTTTCCCAGCCATGGAAAACCTCTAGTGGAGGTGACGTAGACTCTGTGAAAGTCCTTGGTTATAGAGATGTTTAGTGTTCTGGCTTTCTTAAATGCTGGTTATGCTAGCAGTGAATTTGTGTGTGGACACATTCAAAACCTCTGGTTGCTCAGGTGTGGCGGCTAACACCTGTAATCCCAGCACTTTGGGAAGCTGAGGGGGATGGATCACCTGAGGTCAGAAGTTTGAGACTAGCCTGCCCAACATGGCAAAACCTCATCTCTACTAAAACTATAAAAATTAGCTGGGTGTGGTGGTGTATCCTTGTAGTCCCAGCTACTGAGGAGGCTGAGGTGGAAGAATCAGTTAAACCTGGTGGGTGGAGGTTGCAGTGAGCTGAGATCATGACATTGCACTACAGTCTGGTGACAGAGTGAGTCTCTGTTTCAGAAGAAAAACAACAACAATAACAACAAACTTCTGGTTAGCCAGGACGTTGCAGGCAGTGGAATTAGCTGTTGTCTTCTCTTTTCTGTGATTGGGATTATTCTGTCATGAGTTGCTGTAATAACCTGAGTTGTTTGGTATCCAACCAAGATATGGCACTTTCAAGAAAGCACCAGCTGAGGTAAGGAATTCTTTGTTATTATAATGTTTCTGTAAGTAGATCCAAGATAAGGGGGCAACCAAGCCATGCAGGACCACATGCAGAAGGACCAGGTTGATTTGGAAGCTGAGGGCACATTATAATTTTTATTTGGCCACATCGCCCACATTTATTTGTCCATTTCTATGCTTCTGTGGATCCTGGCATCTTAGCTTTGGATCTCCTAATACCTGCTGGTCACAGCACCATAGAAATTGAGTATCTAGGAGCAGAGAACACAGACCAGTGATAACAAGATGTAACTTTTTTTTCTTTCAGCACTTTGATTATATTGTCCTATTGTCTCCTGGCCTGCAAGGTTCTGCTAAGAAATGTGTTCATAGTCTAATGGGGATTCCCTTATATTTGACTTGACACTTTTGCTAATGTTAGAATTCTGTCTTTGTCTTTGACTTTTGAAGTTTGATCATAATGTCCCTTGGGGATGATCTGTTTGTGTTGAATTTGTTTGGAACTATTAAGCTTCCTAGGTCTGATATCTATATCTTTCAGAAGATTTGGGAAGTTTTAAGCTGTTATTTTGTTAAATAAGCTTCTTGTGCCTTTCTGTATCTCCTCCTTCTGAAAATTACATAGCGAATATTTACTTAATGGTGTCTCATAAATTCTGTAGGCATTCTTTGTTCTTTTTAATTTTTGTTTTCTCTGATAGGGTAATCTCAAAAGATCTGTCCTTAAATTTAAAAAAGTCCTTTTTTTTAAAACTTGATTCAGTCTTCTGTTGTAGCTTGAGTTGTATTATTTATTTTATTTATTGAATTTTTCAGCTCCAAGATTTCTGTTTGGTTCCTTATAATATCTGTCTCATCTCTGATGACTTCCTCATTCAGATTATGAATTTTTTCTTCATTTTATTTCCCATATTATCTTGTGTCTCATTGACTTTCCTTAAAATTATTATTTTAAACTCTTTCAGCCGTTTTGTAAATTTTCTTTTGCTTTTTGAGCTCAGTTATTGGAGAATGTGCTCTTTTGAGGGTATTATGTTTTCTTGCTTTTTTATGTTTCTTGTGTTCCTATCTTGATATCTGTACATCTGGTGGAATGGTTGTTTCTTGCATTTTTATGGAGTAGCTTTTTTAGAGAAGGGTTTTTTTTTCCTGTATATGTGTCCTAGGATGTCAGTTGAGTAGTGTGCATGGGCTTTGGTTCTAGGTCGGTCCCATAGTGCACTTCTATGAGGTTTCTTCAGCTGTAATCAATACCAGTGATGCCTGTGAGTTTCTCAGTGGCCTAGGATGTAGAAATTTGTGGTGGCAGTGGTATGGCTTTGCTGGGGCCAGGACAGTTGGCTGCCTCTCAAACCAAGGGTGTTCACTGGCTTTGGCTCAGCATCTCTGTTGTGCATAACCACCTGTACACTGGAGAATAGGACACTACATGGGCTTAGGTACCGGGCTTACAGCTGTTATACAGCCTAGCTTCCAATTAGTTGATATTGTGGCACTGTAGCTAGATGGGTGAGCATGGTGGAATGGCAGTGCAGCCTCAGGGGTGCAGTGGCTACTGTCCTTCTGAGCAAAATGTACTCTAGCAGTGACTTCAGTTTCAGTTTGGCAGTGTGCCATAGCACCTTGCATTATAGTGGGCTTGCTGAGTCCTGGGGATTTGGAGTAGGTTCCTCTCCTGGAATAATGCAGCCGTGTGCACTCCAGGCAGTTTCCTAAACTGGGCTTAGGGCCTTGTATTACTTCATAATTGTGCAGTAGTAGGGACTCCAGGTATCTACAGTAGTAATGGAGTATCAGTGGAGTAGCAAACAGTGGTAACAAAGTGGTAAATGGAAGGGACCTCCTGTTTACCTTTTCCCTGCAGGGAGAAGTCTTTCTTAATTTGGAGCTGATGTCAACTGGGGAGATGGAATGGAAGATGCATGGCATTTTCTCCTCTCGTCTATGCTGCCAATCTGAGTTTCTGTGCTCCATATCATTTTCTCTACTGTTCTCCACCCCCGCCTATATTCCAATGCTCTCCTTTAGAGTCTCTAGCTGGAATGTAGTTGTTTATTTATTGTTTTGGTCCTTTTTATGAAGTAACAAACATTAGGCACGTTTAGTCAGTCATCTTGCTGACATTACTCCTCATCTTCATTTTTCATCGGATTTAGTGCTTTGTTCACTAAGACCTTATTGCTTCTGCCATCTCTTGGGCACAAGAGTTCTTAGTAGTGAATACCTGCAGACACTTACATAGGCTTGTTTGTTTGCTCAAACTTCACAGGGGAAAGTGTACAGCAAAACTGAGTAGAAGCTGAGTGTAGGAAGGAAATAAGGGGGCAAATAATTGGACAAATTTTCTGGTTGGCTTAAATATTTTTTTTCGAGATCAGTTCCAAAATTATTTGCTTAATGGTTTAGGTGTTATTGTTTAGATGTAACATTGTAGTAAATTGAATCAATGTATAATCACACTTAAGTCACTTCAACTTACAATGTATATGAAATATAAGAAAGGTAGTATAAGTTAAAACAGGTATAATAATCATAGTCACTATTCAAAAGCACAATGCAGAACTTGACCATGAGAAGAAATTACATCACTCTGAGTAAACTTTTGAAGCTTTTTGACATTTTGAAGCTAAGAGTTTATAAAATGTTAAAGGATCAAAAATTAATTCTAAATAAAGGTTGATTCATGCATTTTAAGGCAGGTCAGCCTTATATAAATGTACTGTGACCAGATGATGCTGCTAGTGCTGTGGCATAAAATATTTAAAAAGGAAAAATCTTTGTGCTTTGTTGATTCAGAACTATTTATAATGTGCTATCTTTTCCTGCTATCCCCTACCACTTGTGTCTTTGTATTGTTCTTGAATTCTGTAAAATGTCACCTTTTTGAGCTTTATTTTTTTATCTGGCCATTCTTTTCTTACCCCTACATGTCTAAAGTAACCATATTTCTAATTGTAAAAAACCATGAGGAGGTTATATTTTCAATAGAGATGTAATAACAGGAACTGGATTTACAGTGTGGCCAAAAAAAAGCACAAATAGGAAATAACAGTTTTCAACATATTGGAAATTAGAAAATGCATCACAGTGATTCCTAGGAGAGAGGAAATGAACAACGTATACCACATTAGAGCCTTGAGAGTGTTTCCAGGTTGTGGTGTAGGGAGGGGAACCCAGTGATCTCCCTGGGTTGAGGAGACAGAGCCAACAGTCCAAGAGAATACAGTAACTAGAGTTTGCTAGACAGAGTACTGGATAGGAGAGATCTGTACAGAGAAATAACTCTGAAGATGTGAAGAAGGTATTCTTTGGCTATTCAGGAGAGTCCTGATCAGTGTATTTAAGTGAGCAAACTACTCAAGGTCCAGAAAAGAACTCATTGAAAGTATTAGAGGAAATAGCACCCAACAATTATACAGGGCTAAGAATAGTGTCAGTATATACCTGCTGGAATCAAAAATCCTTATTTAGTAGGGCACTGAGTAAAGTACACAGGGTCTTTCTTCAGTTGTAGGAAACAGCCTTAGACTGAGCACTGCTCCAGTCCTGCTTAACAAATCTTAAAAGCAGGGTCTGACTAACCCCAACTATTTGCAAATAACTTAACTTCATCCCAGAAAAAAAGCTAAGAATATTTATAGTAATACAAAAAATTCATTACTCAACAAGGTAACACAATGTCTGGTATCCAATAAAAATTACAATGCTGTAATCCCAGCATTCTAGGAGGCCGAGGCGGATGGATCACGAGGTCAAGATATCGAGACCATCCTGGTCAACATGGTGAAACCCTGTCTCTACTAAAGATACAAAAAATTAGCTGGGCATGGTGGTGCGTGCCTGCAATCCCAGCTACTCGGGAGGCTGAGACAGGAGAATTGCCTGAACCCAGGAGGTGGAGGTTGCGGTGAGCCGAGATCGCGCCATTGCCCGCCAGCCTGGGTAACAAGAGCGAAACCCTGTCTCAAAAAAAAAAAAAAAATTACAATGCATGCAAGAAGCAGATAATCATGATCCATAATGAAAAGAATAAGCCATCAAAACTGACCAAGAATTGACACAGATAATAGAAGAGCAGAAGAGAACATTAAACAATTATTATGATTGTATATAATATGTTCCAAAAGTTAAGTGAATACATGTAAGATATTAAAAAGGCCCAAATGAAATTTCTAGAGATGAAAACTAAAATGTGTGAGTTGAAAAGTATTCTAAGACTGATGAGAAATTAGCATTGCAGAAGGAAATGTAGTGAACTTGAAGTTAGAGCCATAAAAACAATTCAAAGTAAAATACACAGAGGAAAAAGAATCAAATAACAAAGAACAGGACATTGATAAGTTATAGAAAAATATTGAGTGGTTGATGTATGCCATTCAAGTCCCTGAAGAGAGAGGAAATGGAAAAAAATTTAAAGAAATAATAGTCAAGATTTTTCCAAATTTATAAAAACTATAAACCTACATATGCAAGAAATTCAATAAATCCCAAGCACAAAAATTATGAAGAAAAAATGCATAAAAGCATATTGTTATCAGATTGCTAAAATTATTAAGAAGAGAAAAATCTTAAGATCAACAAGAACAAAAAAGACACATAAGAGAAACAAAGATAGGAATGACAGAATTTTATTTTTATCAACAATGTAAGTTAGAAGACAGTGAAGCAAGATTTTTATGTGTTACATAAGAAAAAACATTAACCTAAAATTCTATACTAAAAATATATTTGAAAACGTAAATGAAATAAAAGCTTCTTAGGCTATTTAAAAAAGTTGAAAAAATTCATTATTAGCAGGTCTGCAATATAGGAAACATCAAAGGAAGTCCTTTCGTGAAAGAGAGAAATATGTCAGATGGAAATACAGATTTACACAAAGAAACAGCAAGCACTGAAAATTATAACTGCATGAATAAGTGTATGAAATTTTTTTCCTATTGTAAAAAATCTGTTTAAAAAATAATTGGCTGTTAAAAATAATAGCAAAGTGGTGTGGAGTTTATAGCATTT